AATACCTTCAACACTTGAGAGGGTAGCGCCTTCAATACCTTGAGAGGGTAGTACCTTCAACCCTTGAGAGGGTAGTACCTTCAACACCTTGAGAGGGTACCTTCAATACCCTTGAGAGGGTAGTACCTTCAACCTTGAGAGGGTAGTGCCTTCAATACCTTGAGAGGGTAGTGCCTTCAATACCTTGAGAGGGTAGTGCCTTCAATACCTTGAGAGGGTAGTGCCTTCAATACCTTGAGAGGGTAGTGCCTTCAATACCTTGAGAGGGTAGTGCCTTCAACACCTTGAGAGGGTAGTGCCTTCAATACCTTGAGAGGGTAGTGCCTTCAACACCTTCAGTACCTTGATACCAGTAAGACGGGGACTGTGGCTTGTGGGTCGGCCCCAACCAGTGGGGGGACCAAGGTGACTTTCGAGTCGACTCAAAAGGCACAGTGGGGGGACCAAGGTGACTTTCGAGTCCACTCTCCCCACCTTGCTCCACTCCGCTGGCGTTCCTCCCCTCCCCCCAGGGCTACCTGCACGGCCACAGGGGAGGGGCGTGAGGGAGTGTCGGGTGTTAACCCCACGCCCCTCCCCCACCTGCAATGCACGCACACAATGGTGGTCAGTGGGTGGATTCAGGGGATGCATGTATGTGGGGTGAGGTATGGGGGGGAGGGAGGGAGGGGCCACTAGTGGAGCGCCAGCCACAAGCCACAGATCCAAGGGGCCTATACCCGAGGGCCTATACCCAAGCCACAAACCCAAGGGGCTTATACCTGACGGCTGTACCTGCTGCGCCTGGGGTGTTCACCTGCGGCGAGGGGGTCTGTAGCATGAATACTGTGCTGCCACCACTGGCACCAATTCAATGGGATAAAACGACAGACAGCATCAAAGGAAATGACGGCAACAAAGCAAACACCAGCAGGGAGGAAACGGCACTTAGCTGAAAGCCATTGGCCGGCTTAAGAAGGTAGGCGAAGCAGCAGCACGCGCTTACAAGCTGCCTCATCACCAGAGCTTGCAGGCTGCTTCCTCTCAAAGGCAGCAGCAGCAGGTGGGTTGGAGCAGGGCGAGCAGGGGCGCGCAGGCAGCATAGAGAGCAGCTGCCACAGTTGGTCTGGAGGGAAGGGGAGAGAGGAGGGGGAGAGGAGAGGAGGGGAGAGGAGAGGAGGGGGAGAGGAGAGGAGGGGGAGAGGGGGCCAAGCATTTGGTTAGGCGAATGGATGATCCAGGCAGCACGCATGCGCTCGAGGAAAGGAGGATCCGCTGTGATCCGTTGGAGTCACCATCCGGTCGTCCACACAGCAGGAGGGTCGTTCTGGAGTCCAGCTTTGGGGGAGGGGGGTGGGGGGGCATGGCACAGAGGTGTGGGCAAGCGACAGTTCGAGGTTGCTATCAGTTGAGATCGCGGAGGAAGTCGTGAGAGAAGTCAGGGATGAGTGACGGAGGAGGAGAGTTGAGATGTGAGACCCAGCGGGAGAAGTGATTGAGGTGACGTTGAGCGTAGAGCGCCTGGCGGATGGTAGAAAGAGCAGGCTGGCCGTCCTGCAGAATCTCCAGTCGTGCTCCCAGTCCCGCCCCGCAGCAGAAGGTACCCCACTAGCCACCTGTTCTGGACGTGCACTGCAACAACCGAATCAGCGCTGAAAGAGCTGATTCGCTGAGCCACAAGAGCTGATTCGCTGAGCCACAAGAGCTGATTCGCTGACCTTCAGTCCGACACAGAAAGCTCTGGCCATGATAGATGTAGAGGGAGGGGAGAAACGAACAACTTCATAAGCAAGAGAGGGGGCTGTATTTAGGGCACTGGAGGAGGTAAACCAGTCTCCTGGAGAGATGATGGGGGAAGGGGGAAAGAAGGTCTCCATAACCTCCCACCAGCAAGCCGGAATAGCGGAGCACAGCTCACGGAAAACACCACAACCGCCAGGCAAGAATTTGGGTTGGAATTTGGGTTGCAAGATGTCTACTTCTGTGCATTTCCGAACCCCTGCGGGAAGGATCTTAGTAGCTGGGTATGAGAGAATGAGCGGAAGAAGGTGAGGGCGAGAAAATAAGGTGAGAAGGCTGAGAGTGGGGAAGTGAATGAGCAAGAGGCGAAACCCCAGTGAAATCCGAGGCTCAGGCGAGATTGGGGTGAGGGGGTCACAGAATGTCTCCCCTCTCCTTCCGTCTCAACTCATGGGGTTTCACGAATCAGGATCTAACGTCCAGAAACACTCAAAGTCCAAAACGTTCCTCCTACTTTAGATCGCAGCCGTAGGTTCAAATTGTTCCATGTGTCGCCAACGCCAACCATGAAAGAAAACCCGATGATTATTGGTCTAGAGGCTCTCCGGTTGCATTTGTTCGCGAATGTTGACGGCAATTGCGAAAGAACGGTCCGGTCAGTGTCAAAATTTCTCCGTGAGACGGGGATTCGAGAGTCAACCCGTGGATGGTTGGAAATCGTTCACGTGGCACGTGAATCTGTCTGTCAGGGCAAGGGAAAGGAAAATCGCCGACTAGCTTGTCGGCTCTACTCCTTCTGCGGCTACGCGAGTCGAGCAAAACTGACGCTTTTCAGGGAACTAAGCTTACAAACGCGGGAGTTCCGAGATCCCCTCAGGAGAAAGTTTGGCTCCATGATCTATTGACCGTCGATATTCATCTCATCTGGAGTCGCACTGGCAGTTCGCCATTCAGGTACGCGCCAAACCCAATCGCGCAAAAATTCGAACCTGTAGTGGCAGCCAATAGGAGCTAGGCAAATCCTAGCCGTGGAAGCAAGCCCCGGCTGGGCTGTTGGGGGTTGGCTTGGACTTTGTGCTCCCTGGTCAGATGGCCAGGAAAGGCCACTGGGCTGCCGACGGCGAAGTGGCCGGGCCGTTCGCCAAACCTGGCGAACACTCGCTGTAACACACTTTGTTTTCCTCACTGGTGTTGGCCAGCGGGCAAGGAACTGCATCCCTGACACCAACTGTTCGGGGCTGCCGTGCCATCCCAAAGAGCCCAAACAAAACCGCAACAGCCCAAAACGAACCAATGCACACCCACAAAATCCAGTCCAAGGTATAAGTCCCCACATTATTAACGCAAATTGTACAGCAAGTGATGCATTGTTCGATATGCCATAGCCTCACCAACTTCACCATACAGCCACCCCTTTCCAACCCCTCTCCCTCCCTCACCAGCCTCATAACAAGTATAATGAATATTTGTTGGACCACATGTATCCATGTGCCTTGGAGCTTCCACCGACCATCCATCAAGCAACTGTATATCATAGCGCTGTAACTGTCCCTCCAAAAGCCCATTCATATATTCAACGAGCGAGTTTGTAGCCGGTTGCAGGGAGAACGGCTTGGGTGGTGTTGGAGTGAAGCAATCAGCGTTGACTCGCCGAATCGGAGGAATTGACCGGAACAAGAACCGCGGCCCCCTTGTTTTGTGCTGAACCTCCATCCTGCTCCCTGTAATCGCATACCCATCACTACGCTCTGTTCCCTCACCACCACCGAGTTGGATGCGTTTCTCCTCAAGGGTAGTTAAATCACCAGCACCCTGGACTACCTTTTCCAGCTCCAAATGCAATCCCTGTCTCTGGTGTTGTTCCTCTGCCAGCTGCCGCTGTCCATGCACCCACTCGAGAAAAGCAGGCAGGTGCACGCTGTAGGCTCTCTCGGGCTCCGCACAGAGCAGACAGGACCACGCGCCAGCATCGAGGATGGTGACGTCAGCAGTGAGGGAGATGTTGGGGAAGGACTCGTTTCTGCCAGAGTAGAACCCCCTTCGCCTGGAGAGGAAGGGAGAGGGGGATGACATGAGTTGGAAGAGGGTGGATGACACGAATCTGTCAGCACGGGTGAAACGGAATTCATTTGCATGCAACAGGGCTGAAAGCATGATAACTTGATTAGCTTTAAGGGTTCAGGACTTACTCGCATCCAAACTGTCCATTCTGGTAAATCCCATCAACCCAGTTGAAGTTCAGCCTCAGATCCCCAGACTCCCCTGCTCCCTGCTGCTCCTGCTCCTGCTGCTGCTGCTGCTGCTGCTGCTGCTGCTGCTGCCGGCTCATCGCTTCTTTCTCCCTGAGCGCCCGTCGGACGCTCGATGCCACATCATCACCACGTGGCATGGTGTTACGGGCTGCACCGGATCCAGGGACGGTGATGGAGATATCCCCATGGTAGTCCACGTGGGAGTCGTTGACATTGTGGGTCAACAGGTACGCGAGGTGCAACAGGAGGAAGCGCTGGTGCGAGTCGCCAACAAAGTTAATCTCCCGTATGCCACGTGATGCCAGGGCGGAAACCCAGTGGGATGGCGGAGGAAGGGGAGGGGCGCAAGGGAAGAACTCCCACCTGGGAAATGTGGAGGGAAGCCGGGGGAATCCGGTTGGACACAGGAGCTAAATCACAGTGGAAGCTGAATCGTAGGGCACATTCATTAATGAAGGTCTTCCCAAGGCACGATACCGAGATTACGAGTGACAGGGGAAAGGGGGACGCATGCTGCCAACGGTGGAGTGGTACTCACGGGTGACTGTCTCACCTGTACTTTCCCGTGCTGCCATCCAAAAGCCAGCGGCCATGAGTCGTTCCATGGTCACAGGCTGAGTCCGAGTCTCCACCAGCCACTGCCACCACTGCCACCCTGCTTGCTGCCTCGGAAGGTGAGAAAGGGAGCTCCTGCTGTGTCCCGGGAGGTGGAACAGCGGCTGCTGGCTTGGCACTGGTAAGAACGGCGAGGGTCCATTGCGCCATAGCGAGCTCGTGCCCGTGAACGAAGGTAGAAGAATAGTTTAAGGAGCCGCATCCGGACTGAACGACGACTCTGTTGTGGAGGGAGGGGCGGAAGGAGACAGGTAACTCATTCGTTAATCGCCACGTCATTAACTCACTCACGTGATTGAGTTGTTTCAACAGACTTACTTGTATAATCCAGCATCCCATACGCGGTATGCCACCCGCCACCTGCTGACGTCGCCTCTCTCAGCCATGACATCAGCGCGCACCAGCGACGGCCCCACCAGCTGCACCGCCAGCTCGTGCTTGAACGCCGTGCCTGGCGGCACCGTCCACGTCGCAGGCCGTCGCACGGCGATTTCGAACGTGCACAGTCGCCCTGCGACGCACTGGCGACATCCTGGCCCGAAAATAACCACACCCCCGCGGCCTCGGTCTCCATTGCCTAAGCTATTACTACGAGTAATACTAGTAGGAACGCTGACCACGGAGGTACTATCTAAGGGGCCCTGGCGCTGGTCCGTCCAGGAAGAGTCTTCCCCGCCGTAGCCGCCATGAGCCCCGGACCACCAGCACATAATATCGCTATCAAACTGATACGATTCCGCCGAAATTTTCTGCGATTTTTCGCCTCGGTCGCCACTTCGCCAAGGGTGATAGGCGGGAGAAGCAGTGAGATCTCGTCGTTCAAAATGGGAGTACCATCTAAGCACCGCGAGGAAAGCTGCTGCTAGAAGTAGCTGGATAGCGGTGCGATGGTGCAAGTGAGAACTGGAAGTGTTCACTCCGCGGCTTCCCATGTTACACACTCCCTAGTAGCTGCTGTGCATAAGGGCGTGTCCCAAGAGTACGTCCCACAAAATCTATATGCGATGGACTACGGTGCGCTTCACCGCTTCGAAACTCAAAGAACCAGATGAGACCGTATAAAATGAACGGGGGACGTACTCTTGGGACACGCCCTAATAACCTAGATTCGTGAACCTTGTTAGCCGTCAGCTTGGCTGGCCTGCATACAATGTCGTCTAATGAGAACTGTGATAACGCATGAAGATACGAAAGCTCCGTTTTTTTGCCTCAGAGACACCTTGGCTGCTCCGTGCTTCGCTAGTATCGCTGGTAGTGAGCTGTTCAGGGAGTCAGCTTACCTGGGAGTAAGCTAGGTCACAGAGAGCCATTTTCGGAATACGCTAGTCTAGGAGGAAGGTTGATACGGAAGGAAGTGAACTTCGGAGCAAGAAAACCTCAAAGTGAGCTAATTTTGGAGCTAGCACAGGCAGTTCCCGCTGATGATATCAAGGGCCCCTCGAGCTCATCATCTGGCGTCGCATCGCATCCTCATCATCGTCAACATTGGAGGGAATGCAGTGCTGCTTCGCTTCTGCACCGAGGGATGCACCCAATCGACGGTGCAAATCATGCATGTGTCAGGCTGGCAAGAAGGGCTGTGCGAGACGCGCCAAATCCTTGGTGCGGGGTGGGTTGTCTGCTTGCACAGATCCGCTCTAAAAGAATATGGGGTACAGTACACGTAAAATGAATCCCTTTGGGCTGACCAGCCGTATTCATATGATCATTGTTTTCGTGACGTCTCAAGATGAAACTTACATTGGCGAGCACAACAGTTGTTATCGAGTCATGACAGTAGTGAACTTTGACTTGGCTCAACCCACTGTGGGTCTTGCGGTGACCGACAGGTTGGGGAGGAATTCCATTGGTGGAAGTGATAGGTGGTCTACAGTTTTCGTCGAGGCGCACGGTGAGCACCGTGTGGCACGGTGGCGGAGGTACAGAATCTCCACGCCTCCTGGTTCGACAACATTGTGGCTCGACGCCTGGCCAGAACATTTCTGGTTCGACGAAAGGCTTGTGAGCTGAGGAGCACACAAGGCTGATCAGTCGCGTTCACCTCACCACCACCTGCTTCTTGGCCCGGCGACGACTGGCTTGGGTGACACCCTCCCACCACACGCTCGATACAGTGTAACCAGACCACCAGCCACCTGGGACTTGGTTTGGTCTGGACATGACGTGCAACGAAAGCGCCTTTCAGGACACCCCCGTTAGAGGTTGACCAAAGAAGCCACCCCTGAAACCCACGGACCACAAGGTCCACGACAGGAAAATGGACCGCGGTGCGGTGAAAGCCTTGTCTGTCGCGGGCGAAACATAGCAGCACTGCTGTGGTGCTGTATGCACATTGTCGGGGCCGAACCACGACTCCAACCAATCAGACGCATTTCCCCAACCGAGCCGAGCTTGTTCCCCATACTTCCCCTCCTCTCTCCTCCCCCCCTCACCTCCCCTCCACCGTCAACGCTTCACGCTAAACTCGTCAGTGTCGCCTCGCTCGCCACTCCCATCGCTGCGCAAAATCCTCCATCTGTCAGTTTGTCGCCACCGTCACCGAAACAAGCCGCCGCCATTCTTGTCTGCCTCGCTCACTCACGATCACTTTCCCCGAGTTCGCCTCTTTATAGTATCCAGTAGGCGTTGCCCTGAGACTCAGATCGCATCACCAAATTCCCCAGAGACTTACCCTTTCGAGCACTAGGATTCTCAGCTGAGAGCTTCCTCAAAACATTCGCGACCAAATCCCGTCCCTACTAGACGCTTTCTTTCCCTTGTTTCGTGCTGTCAATATCTCAGAAGCCCACAGTCCCTCCATCGCCATGTCGCTATCAGACCTGTGTAACTTCCTCGACGTTCCTCCCCCCTTCTTCACTCCCGCACTCCGCAACTCCGCTCCGACCATCGGCCGCAAACCGCGCCCCCCAGTACTCCAGATCCCCGAAATGGTCCCGCCGCCTCTCACCCCGAAGCCGCATCCTCTTTTCCACCTCCCTCGCGCGGCTACTGCCGTCCAACCCGCCGTCCCTCCTGCCGGCCAACCGGCTGGTCGGACAGCCGGCCAGCCCGCCGGCCGCCGGCCGCGGCAGCCGAAGATTTGGGATCTGCTGCCAACTCCAAAAGCGGCGGAAGAGAGCGGAGGCAATTTCCGCTCCCAGAAGACGCCTGGCTTTCCGCGCCGACCTAGCGATCGCTCTGTACCGTGCTACACGCTCCAAGTGCGAAATCGATCACTGACAGTGTCTGGTAACCAGACGGGGCTCCGTAACAGCTCTGCTCCCAGGGAGAACGAGAGGTCGGCGACCGTGGCGAGCTCGGCGAAGTTCTGGGATGGGATTACCAGTCCGCGAAGCGGAGTTCACGCGATTGGCGTGCCAAGAGTGGCGGGGAGCGGTGACCGTCTACACCGTCGGATCGAGCTGCAGTAAACGCGGTCAGCGCGGTCAACGCTCTGGTTGCCGGCAACAAGGCTCAGGTTGCATGCCAAGGAGCAACAGCGGCTGGGAGCTTTTGGTGGAATGATCGGCGCTCGAGATCAGGACGACTGGCCGTCTCGGCTCAGGCTGCTGCCAATATCGGGTTGATTTATAACGGAGCATCAAATTGTGATGACTTCGTGCAGCCAGGTCGGCAATGCGGGGAGAGCGAGCCTACTCTGTCAGAAGCTGCGTATAGTAACGAAGCATCTCATATCGAACCAGAGGCGCGCAGGTGGGCGGCCGTCACGCCGCAGGATCCAGAAACCGCGCCACAAGCGGCGGAAATTGCGCTGCACGGGAAAAAACAGCAGCAGCAGCAGCAGCAGCAGCAGCAGGGCCGAATGCAGCAGCAGCAGGGCCGAATGCAGCAGCGAGCGCACAGGGAAGCGCCTGTCTGTGCTGCTGACCTGACCGAACTCCTGACTGCCATCCTCGGTATACTGCCAGGTGCTTCGCCCGATATGACCCAGAGCGACGCTGTCTCTGATCGACCCTGCAAGTCGTCGTGGTTTTGGCGGTTGATATCAGATGAGGAAGAGGAGGAGGGAGAGGGTGAGGGGCGGCCAGGAAAGGCTGGGTCGGGGCGGTTTGGAAGCCCTGCAGGGGTGCTGGAGTACATTGGGTTCGACGACGACGATGATGATGACAGTGATGATGATGAGGATGGCGATGCATGGTGATGCTGAGCGGCAGAGATGAGGGGCAGCGGGTGGAGAGGCAGGGTATGGCTGGCAGTGGAAGGTCGTGGAGCCCTGCAGGCATGCTGGAGTACATTGGGTTTGACAACGATGATGATGACATGACAGTGATGATGAGTAGTTGTGTGGCTGTTGTGTTCCTGGTGGGTCAGTAGTAGGCCCTCGGGATTTCACTAGGAAGCATCTGTAGGGCCTGTTGGGCCTCGAGAGGCTATGAGACTAGTGGGTATGGTTAGGGCATGAGGGTATGGCTATGAGCAGACACCTCGTGTGGGCTTGCCAGCCCTCATCCCCTAACCATTAACCCCTGATGAGTTGCTGCTGTGCCTTTTATTTGTGTGCTTTTGTCCATGTAATGTACCGTAATCCCCCGGATATAACACCCTATGGTGGATATAATAATTCATTAAAAAAATGACTGGGTGTTAACAGTGGGCTGGAAAAATATAACGCCCATGTGTTATGTATAATTCATTTTGAATCTGATTGTTTCTAGGCTTATACATGCATTGGGTTTCTGTTAGGGAGTTTTGTGCTTTTTGGATGAGAGGATGGCCATGCCAACGTGTCGAACTCGGCATGGGCTATAGGATTTGTGGCCAATCCGTAACGGTCACAGCTGCCAACACCCAGCGGATTGCTGCCATCGGCTGCCAGCGCTGCGAGTTCACGGCTAGGTGCAGTAGATGCTGCCAGCGCAACACCTGCGATGGAATCTGGCATCTCAAGATGCCCTTGGGATGCTAGCATGCGATGGTCTTTTTTGGCTTTCAAGAACCGTGCGCGGCTCGGGTAGGGGGTCGGCCCACGTTTCTTGTTCATCCGTTTGTTGTCGCTGCGTCATTTTAGCGTTCCAGTACTGTCTTCCCAACAGAAAATCCCTCGCGATGTCGAACCTCTCTAACAGAGCCTCGGGCATAAGTCCGCCGAGGCGATTTTGTAGGCAGAGACTCAGCCATGGCGGCCCGTGCTGTTAGCGGCATCTCAGTTTTGCGAACCCATCGTCCACCCCACAGTAGTCAATTTCTTCTCCGTCCGTTTCCGTCGATTCCTCCAGCACCACCTGCGCCGCCAGCACCGCCTGCGCCTCCCGCGCCTCCTGCACCTCCTGCCCCACCTGCTCCTCCCGCACCTCCCTATACATCATGTCCGAGTGCAAGTCGTCCCGAGGAGTGGGACAACTACTGGCAGGACGATGATGAGCTAGACTGGGAAGATGCTGCCGATGGAGAGCCAGAGCCACCCCCGACACTTCCTCGTGTCATTGTTCCATCTTTCCCTCAGCCCATTCGTCGTCCCCACATGCCGCGAGTTAACCGGGATGCTGCACCTCCCTCCCCCAGACATCGCAGGACCAGCCGCAAGAGAGTCTCGCGCACAGCGGCGGAAAAGCTATACTGGTTGGCCCATCTCGACTCCGACCCGAAGCTTTCGAATCGCAAGCTGGCGAAGATGGCCGAGGTACAACCCTGTCAGATACGCGACTGGAAGAAGAACAAGGCACGGCTGTCGGCGGCGGCGGGATGCAGGCGTCGTCTCATCGGTGCTGGACGCAAGGCGAAGTTCCCCGACATGGAGAAGGAGATGTACAACCGCTTCCTCTCACACCGTGCGCGCGGCTTGGCGGTGTCGGTGAGTTGTCTGCAGAAGTGGAGTAGGAAGTTCATGCGGAAGCGCCATCCCGGTGTCGACTGGCGTGCGTCATCCCGTTGGACCTTCCGGTTCCGCACGCGTTGGGGATTGACACGGCGCGTCAAGACAAAGATGGGCCAGCGCCTAACCAGCGGTGCGTTGTGTGCTTGATATGCAAGGTCTTTAGCAATTTCGCTTGCGGTTTCCTATTCATTGAGCTGTAAGAACTTAAGCATAAGCATGTACACTCACATCGTTTATTGTCTTCTCGTTATGCAGATTGCGAGGCTAAAGTCGAGAAATTCTGGGAGTTCGTACGCCAGATGCGCACAGTCAACAAATATGACGATGACTTGATTATCAACGCCGATCAGACGCCCTTGTTCCTCGAAATGCCCCAAGAGACTACATTAGAAGTCCGCGGTTCAAGGACGGTACATGTTCGGACTGCTGGCTACGAAAAGGAGCGGTTGACCGTGATGCTGGCGGTCACTGCTGGCGGCCAGAAGCTGAAGCCGTATGTCATCTTCAAGCGCAAGACGCTCCCCAAGATTCGAGTCCCGCCAGGTTAGTATCGATTGGGTATTGATGTCAGTAAGTGTTTCATGTACCGGAGTTAGAAACTAATTGTAAGCTTTTTGGTTCGTTCATGATTGCATGCAGGAATCGTCATCCGCGCACAGGAGAAGGGATGGATGGATGAGGACCACGTGAAGGACTGGATTACGACGGTCCTTGTCCCCTTTCTGAAGCGACTTCCTGCACGCCGTGGCGGGCGGCAGAAGGCTCTCGTTGTCCTCGACTCCTACAAAGGCCATCTGACTGAGGGGGTGGCGGCGTTGATGCGTCTATTCAAACTCTCACGTGCCGTCATACCTGGCGGCTGCACGCCAATCGTCCAACCTCTCGACGTAGCTGTGAACCGCTGCTTGAAGGCTCACGTCCGCCGGTCCTACTCAGGTTGGTTTGAGGAGTTCGGCTGCGACGCGACAACTCCCGCAGGTGATACCCTTCATATCCTTGAGCTCTGCTCTTCATACGTTCTTGTTTACCGTTTGCTTTACGACGCGTTGACGTGTTGCTCAAGTTCTCGCTTCGGTTTGCCTAATGCGCGATGTAATCTCCACCCAACCCTGTCCGCCCTTCAGGAAATCTGAAAAAGCCTCCGGCAGAGGTGGTGCTGCAGTGGATCGCGGCCGCCTGGGAGGCAGTCCCTACCGACCTCATCCGCAAGGCTTTCAAGACCTGCGGCATCTCCAACGACCTCGATGGCCTTGAAGACGACCTCATACTCGCCCACATGCGCAACAACGCGGAGCTGGAGGTCATGGACGATGTGCACGCGGAGGTTGAGACGACCGGGGAGAAGACGAATCCCCTCTTCGAAGCCGAGTTCGTAGAGCCGACCGCCGACGAGCTCTCCGAGGACGAGGAGTGTGACATGACTGTCAACGTCGACCTGCCGCAGCATGCACCGACACATGGCGTCGATGTGGCGGAATCGTCTGCGATGGCGGAGGCTCGACTTAACGCTGCAGCAGCTGCAGCATCAACATCGACAACACCAGCAGTAGCTGCAACTGCACCTGAAGCGGCTGACACTACAGAGAGCAGCGATGTGGACTCCGCAGAGATGGCGCCAGCGGCGGAGGTACTTGCTGGACTGGCCGCCTCCCGATGGACTGAAGAGTACGATTGGGACGATATTGCATCCGACGATGATGATGTAGAGGCTTGGCACGCTGGAGATGAGGATGACGAGGAGTATTAGGTAGTGAATGATGTCTCTAATTTCTAACTTAGACATGATCTAGGCCTTGCGCTACTCACTGGATGCTATTCTTGTAGGCAACAATGATTAGGAATTCAAGCGTGTTGTAACGCTGCTGTAGTAATAGGTGTTAACGTAGAAACGAGTGATTACTAGAGGTGGAAACCTAGAACAAATACTAGTTGGTTGTACTCACTAGAAGCATACCTCAGTCTAGCCTATAACTTCTACATAGATAATATGTATAAGTTGACACACCCCCTAGGCTAGACAAGGGGTGAAACTAAACAAGAAGTAAACAGCTCAGGGCGGCACTACTAGTCCAACCACTGAGGCAGGGGTCTGGAGACCAGTCAGCAAGAATACAACCAAAACTGAAGCAAGCCAGGGTGGCACTACTAGTCCAGCCACTGGAGGTAAGGCCACAAGGCCAGTCTGACAAGCATATATAATAGAGAGTACACAATCAGGATCCTAACAGGGGAGCAGCTACAGGAACAAGACCAAGCTGTACACAGTGCCGCTGATGATCTTTAGGCGCAAGCGCCTTAGTAAAGATATCAGCTGTGTTGGCACCTGAGGCCAAGTGAACTACGCGGGCCTGGCGGCGCTGCTGTAGCTCGCGCAGGAGGAAGTACCGCAGCTGGATATGCTTCGCTCTGCCCTCAAGCCGAGGCTCCTGACACAGGAGTATCATGGCCCTGTTGTCAGCGTACAGGACTGGGGCAGAGCTAGGCCGCTCACCTAAGTCTGTGAGCAAGAAGGTCAGCCAGCGGAGCTCCTGTGCCGCCATGGCACCAGCGTAGATCTCAGCCTCACAGCTAGACTGAGCCACAGACGACGAGCGAGTGGATCTCCAAGAGATAGCACCCGAACCAAGGCTGAAACAGTAGCCCTGCGACGACCTGAGCGTCTCAGCGTCGTCTGCCCAAGAAGCGTCTGTGTGCCCAGTAAGGACCACTGGCCTGCGTCCTCCTAGCACTAACCCCATGCCTGATGTACTAGCAAGATAACGCAAAACCCTCTTAGCGGCAGACCAGTGCTGAGGTCGGTGTCTGCCTGTAGCCACAAAGCGAGCCAGGATGCTGAGAGGGTATGCGAGATCTGGGCGAGTGCAAGTCATCAGGTACATGAGGCAACCCACCAGCTCTGCGTAGGGGCCACTGGGCTCTACTGGCTCCTCAGGAACGGGAGCAGAGAGCCCATGGTCTACGGGTAGAGGTGTGGGCTGTGCAGAGGAGAACTGAAGACCGAACCTCTGAAGGACCTGACGCACCAAGTGTGACTGGGTCAGAGTGATGGTGCGTGCTGCTCTGTCCCTAGAGATCTGCAGGCCAAGATAGCGACGCAGCTCTCCAAGGTCAGTGCAGGTGTGTCTCTTCAGCAGCTCAGCCTTCACAGAGGCCAGTGCGTCCCTGTCAGGAGTAGCGAAGACCAGGTCGTCTACGTAGACAAGGATGTAGAACGGAGTCTGGCCGGAACGCACAAACAGTGAAGGGTCAGCAGAGGACGGAAAGAACTGCAGGTCTGCTAACGTGGCACATAGCGTGTCGTGCCACTCACGGGGAGCCTGACGCAGACCGTAGACCGGGCGCCTGAGAAGCCACTGGGTCCCAGGAGGGAAGGTACCAGTGAAGCCCTGTGGTCGGCGCAGGTAGACCTGCTCGTGTAGGTTGCCCTGAAGAAAGGCAGTAGAGAAGTCGAGGGAGTGAAGCTCGTAGTCACGCTGTGCTGCTACGTGTAGCAGCGCCCGAAGAGTGGTCATCTTCGGGGTCGGGGCGAAGGTCTGGAAGAAGTCAACCCCCTCGCGCTGACTGAAACCTCTGGCCACGTAGCGCGCCTTGAAGACAGGCGGCTCTCCAGGGGGGCGCTTCACCTTGAAGAGCCACCGACCATCGACTACGTTCACCCCAGGCGGGGGAACTGCGTCGACGTAAGTGCCGGTGGATCTCCAAGATGCCATCTCCTGCTCCATGGCAGCTATCCACTGAGAGGCCCAAGGTCCCGAGGTGGCCTCAGCGTAGGTGCGAGGGGTCGGGATGTCGAAGGCGTCTGGGTCACCCTCAGGGACTAACAGCATGGAGCAGAGATGGGGAGCAGCCTCGGAAAGGAAAGCCAGCTCGTACTGCCTGTCCTCTAGGACGTCACTGCCAAGGGCAGGAGCACCCCCGACGGACAGAGGACGGGCAGGGTCAGAGACCAGAGCGGTAGCGTAGTCAAGGCGGCGGGTAGAGGCGAAGTCAGCGACAGCAGCGACAAGCGCGTCAAGGCGCGAGACAGGAACAGCAGGGTCGGTAACAAGAGAGGCAAGGACCCGAGGGACAAGGGGACGAGCAGCACGGAGGTAGTCAGAGAACGGAGGAGGTGCAACAGCAAGGGACGAGGGAGGAGGGGACGGGAGGAGGGGAGGACGAGACGAGTGGGAACGGAGCAACATAGGGTGGGTGGGCAGGACAGGAGAGACGGGACGAGCACGGGAGGGACGGCGAGCCCAAACGTGAGACGGAGGGGTAGGGTCAGGGGACAGCGGAGGAGACACAGGAGGGGAACGAGGAGGAAGACGGGCCGGAGACGAGTCTGGCGGCGGGAACACAGGACCGTAGACAGGAAGGTCAGGAGGCGGTGGGGGAGACACCGGCGCGCGGTCCGGGGAGGGAAGGCCGAGCAGGCGGAGAGCGGAAACCGGCGGCGACGACGGCTGGGCCGGAACTCTCGGACCAGCAGAGGCAGAACGACCGTCGGCAGAACACTCAACAGCAGCACCCCCAGAACCAACACCCCCAGAGCGAGAACCCCCTCCAACACCAGCGGCACCCCCAGAAGCCGCAGGACGAACACCCTCCTCCACACCAGCACCCCCAGGGGCCGAGAGCAGCGGCGGCAGTGGCGGCAACGGCTGCGGCGGCGGCGACAGCGGCGACGGCTGCGGCAGCGACAGCGGCGGCGGCGGCGACGACAGCGGCGACGGCTGCGGCGGCGACGGCGACGGCGGCGGCAGCGGGGTCGGCGACTGCGACAGTGGGGGCGGAGGCACCGGGGAAGGGGGACGCGGCAAGGACGGACCGGGGGTACCACCAGAGTCAGCAGACTCCTCAACGGGGACAACCGACGGGAGGGGAGTGACGTGGGAGACACCAGACGGGGCAGGACGAGGCGGGAGAGGGGCAGGGGCTACCGGGGGAGAGGGAGCAAGGAAAAGGGGGGGGGCAACTGGGAGACCTCGGTGAGGGAAGCGGCGGTAGAAGGAGACGGACTCGTCAAAGGTGACGTCACGAGAGTGGAGGAAGCGGTGAGACGGCGGGTGGTAGAAAAGCCAGTCAGACGAGTCCAGGGGGAAACCGAGGAAGACACAGGGGACAGTGCGGGCAGTGAGCTAGCGAGTCTCTAGGGCACGCAAATGAGTGGCAAAGTCTGCGACAGTAGGGAAGGCAGCCAGGTCTGGGAACAGCATCGGAAAGAGCAAGCGGCCAGCAGAAGCGGAGGCAGGGGTGGAATAGCGAGCAATAACGGCGTCTAAATAAGCTTTGGCCGTTTCAACAGTAGCAAAACGCGAGCGCTCAGACACAGGGAGGGCGTGACTAATAGCAACCTGAGCTACTGCATCGCATGAGTCCCAGACCGCACAGGCCAGCGCAGCAGTAGAGAAAGCCTCACGGTCATCAGAGGAGGGGTCAGCAGGGAGGGGAGTAGGTGCAGGGGGACGGGGGAGCAAGCCATCAGCATGGACAACCAGAGAGTGGCCATCCTGGCGCTGACCTGTAAGCTGGCGGCGGAGATCGGAGAGCCAGGCGGCGAAGTCAACCGCGTGGCCCTCAGCGTCCAGGCGGAGCACAAAGTCAGCCATCGTGCAGGGTCAGTGGCACAGCTCCTCAGCGACACAGCGGCACAGCAGCACAGCTCCTCAGCGGCACAGGAGCACAGCGGCGCGGGGACACGGCGGCAGCACTCTCCAGTAGGGCAGCAACTAGGCGTCCCAGCGCAGGCGAGCAGAAGACACAGGGCCCGAGAGGACACGGCAGGCCGAGCAGGGGAGGCGGGCAGGTGCTCTGGGGCCGGGCTGGTGCTGGGAGGGGCCAGGCTGGTGCTGCTGGGGCCGGTCGGGCACGAGGAGGGGCCGGGCAGCGCTGAGGAGAGGCCGGGCGGCGCTAGGAAGGGGCCGGGCGGCACTAGGAGGAGGCCGGGCGGCACTAGGAGGAGGCCGAGCGGCACTAGGAGGCCAGGCAGGCGAGCGCTAACAGCAGGCGCGACAGGGGCCAGCGGGCGCGACGAGGCCTAAGGGGCGCGACGGGGCCCAGCGGGCACGACGGGGCCCAGGGGGGGCGCGACGGGGCCGAGGAGGCGCGACGGGGACCAGCGGGCACGACGGGGCCCAGGGGGGCCGCGACGGGGCCTAACGGGCGCGACGGGGCCCAGGGGGGGCGCGACGGGGCCTAGGAAGCGCGAAGGTGCCCAGCGGGCGCGACGGGGTCTAGGAGGCGCGACAGGGCCCAGCGGGCGCGACGGTGCCCAGAGGGGGCGCGACGGGGCCTAGGAGGCGCGACGGGGCCCAGCGGGCACGACAGGACCTAGGAGGGGCGCGACGGGGCTGAACGGGCGCGACGGGGCCCAGAGGGGGGGGGACGCGACGGGGCTTAGGAGGCGCGACGATGCCTAGGAGGCACGACGGGGCTCAGCGGGCTCGACGGGGCCCATGGGGGGCGCGACGGGGCCTAGGAGGCGCAACGGGGCCCAGCGGGGGCGCGTTAGGGCCTAGGGGTCGCGACGGGGCCCAGCGGGCGCGACGGGGCCCAGGGGGAGCGCGACGGGGCCTAGGAGGCGCGACGGGGCCCAGCGGGCACGACGGGGCCCAGGGGGGGCGCGACGGGGCCTAACGAGCGCGACGGGGCCCAGGGGGGGCGCGACGGGGCCTAGGGGGCGCGACGGGGCCTAGGAGGCGCGACGGGCGGAAGCGGTAGGCGGGGGGGTCCTAACCTAAGCGTGATACCATGTTAACGTAGAAACGAGTGATTACTAGAGGTGGAAACCTAGAACAAATACTAGTTGGTTGTACTCACTAGAAGCATACCTCAGTCTAGCCTATAACTTCTACATAGATAATATGTATAAGTTGACAATAGGATGCATATGGTAGAATATACAATTGTTTTAGTGTACTCCAAGTAATAAAAATAGGGGGGCGTTATGTATAATTCGTCGCCTGAAAAGCGGGTACTCTCAAAAATGCACCATATCATAAGCTCCCCCCCGTATTAACCACCCACGGAGTGACTATTCCGGCGGGTGTTATATCCGGGGGATTACGGTAAGCTTGTGATGAGCACAATAATATTCAGATACGGGTAGCTAGATAAGCTCAGACTAGGCATGGGCTGGGAACCCAGAGTTACCCTAATATACTAACGAGGAGTTACCCTATGATCGCTAAAGAGTTACCCTGTAGTCAATACCCTACAGAACACATGAGGATGTTGCTGCCCTAGTACCCAAGTGAGAGGGCGGGTTGAGCCCACACTAGCTCAGGGCTGGAGTCACAGCTCGAGTCGTCAGATGGAACAGGCGAGTCTAGAATGGAAGCCGGGCTACGGCCAATGGGCTTGCGACACGTGTCAAGCTCGTGCAGCTGGGCCAAGTTAGTGGAGCGCATGCGGAGGTATGGCCGGCCCGGCTCAGTGCAATCAGCACGGCGCTCGGGGTTTCTCTCACACCCCCCTGGCCTACACTCAGCTCGCCCCTCCAATGGTTTCCATGCCTCCCCCACCACCGCCCCGTTTTCTCCTCTCAGGGCCAGATTGCCCTGGGTGTTTCCTGCCGGTTTTTGGCTCTTTAGGAAATCAGGTGCACCTTCCCCGGATACTGTCTCCCCCAGCAACGCAGATGCCACCTCCCCCAGGAACTGTGGGCGCTGCTCTCCCCACGTGTGCCTGGATGCTGCCAGCAGAGCCTGCCAGAGGGACGCCACGTGTGCATGGATGGATTCGCCGATGATGGGGAGACATGTGGCGCGATGGGATTTGTTGCGCGGATCTACTTCATTCGTAGTGCATTCGTCACCAGTTCGCTCAGGCTCGCTGGGGACGGAGTCTATCCCCGTTACAGAGCTCTTGCTGCTCTGTACAGGCATTGCTCCTGAATAAATCCCCGACTGATTGGCAGGGGGAGCATGCTCCATTGTCAAAGGAACGGGAAGTGGCGCAACAGCTCCAGATGATGTGCGCACAGGCACCCCGCCAAATGCACTCCGCCTGCTCCCGCTCCCCCACTCTCGCCGCCGGTACCACCCAGGCGGAGGAAGCTTCCGCCAATCCCCCGCCAAGACCGCTCCAGGGAATAATTCCGCCCGCCCTCCGCGGCTCAAATTCCGCGCCAGCTCCGCCTCTCCACCCCTTCGTTCCGCCATGTCCCCCGACGCGCGGGGTGTATCAAGAGGCAGCTCCGCGGGAGTAGAGCCGAAGCCGCGGGGAGGCGGCGGAAGCCCGACGAGCCGGGGGAAGACCGCGGCTGGTGGACCCGCCGGTTGGTCCATGGGGTCACTGAGGACACTGGGGTCTGCTTGTCGGTCGAGTCGTCGCAAATGGAAGCCGATCGACGGCCATCGCTTGGGCCGACTGAGCCCATCGCAGCGAGTGCAAGGGCCGCCGCATAAGCCGCTGCCTCGCGCGCACGCGCGTTCACCCGAAGCAGGAGTTGCTCCGATTTCGCCCCGCTCTTGCGCTAGTCCCCCGATTCGTGGCCAGGCGAGAGACGCCGAGTCCGCGAGTCCCGCGTCCGGCAGGGATGGCGGCGGAAGCTCGGGCTGGAGATCATAAGGTAAGCCCTCATGATTGCCCAGCTGTTGCGCGCACGCACGTGCTTGCGGGCTCCGCACGTCAGTCGGGCGGGCTCCGCGCAGCAGAGCCGGCGGCGGAGTCTCGGGCAAGAAATCCCAGACCTTGAGCTGACGCCTGCGCCCGCGCGGGCCGTTTGCGCGAGAATCCTTCCGCGGATCCGCTCCCGCCCCCCGCAGTTGCTGCGCGGACGCGCGCGCTTTCTGGTGACCATCGCGCAGCTGAGGGGGCGGCGGAAGCGGAAGCGGGGTAGGCGGAGGGGGTACGATTTCGGGAATTAATAGAGGGCCGGGACGCGGTTTACGTCCAATTGGGGGAGCGAGGTTGCGTGCATCGCGGGATGGTTCAAGAGCGGGTTCGGAGCTCCTGTAGGGCTTGCTGGTCGGAAGCTCGTCGCCGTTCTGCTGCTGTTGTTGCTGAGGAAGCGCGCCGAGATTGGCGGTCTGATCCAAGATGGAGGTCCAAGCCAGAGCCATGATGATGGGAACCATCGAAATGCAAAATGCTCAGCAGATCGTTATGTGAAGTACTGTCGTGTGCATGCGCCTTAGCACCAGGGAAGAAGGGAGTGGGGGCAACAGGACTAGGGGCAACACTCCACACAAGCAGGAGCGCCCGAGATTTTTGTGATGCGAAACAAATGTTTTGTGTGTTGGCGAGATGGGAGTGTGGTGGGGTGGAGCTGTAAATCTTGATCAGAAATTCGACCTGCATTCGCGTAGGCGACGCTATCTTATTCGCCTCGGGTTTGGCTTCGAGACGCGGCTCGGGATGGCTCGGAAAAAGCGACTCGGATGACTCTAGCGGTTTTGCTCTGGTGTCCCCGTCGTTCTGCTTCGTCAACCAATCGGTTCCCTGAGCTTCACGGCGCCTCTTGACTGACCCACAACGAAACGTGGTTTGGAGGTCATGACGGCTTACGTTTGGGTAAAAAGGCCAATTGATGGCTCGAAAAACCCCAGGCCTAATATCCACTATTGTTTGGTTTGTGGTACGGGAACAGGTCTCAGGTTAGGGGGAAGTCGACATGGCTGATGCTTGGAGCCATGTGGCGGAATCACACAGGTAGAATTGATGTTCACCAGCCAGCTAATCTGCCTGACCAGCGAGCCAGCTAAAGCGGACCTGATTTTTGGGTTGCGGAGCAACCAATTGCAATCGATCGGGCTGGTTTTTTTTTTTTCAAGTTTGTGAAATAAAAATCAAATGTTTGTTGTGATGGAAATAAAACATTTTATGTATAATAAAGTCTCATCATGAAATGCTCCGCAACCCGAAGACGATCTCGTCGCCTCTTGTTGAGGTTGAAAGGCAAGGGGGGCAAGATCGACCGTACTCACATTACGCAAGAGACAAAATTATTTCGGGCAAGCAAAAAATATCAACCCCAAGGGGAAACTGGTTGTCATTCGGGAGACATCAAACCCGAACTCGTTTCGGGCAGAAGATATCAAGGATGTGATTGGTTGTCAGTAGAGTGAGCCAAAATGAATACGGCCTCCGGCATAATGTGAGTCCCCCTGGTGATTCCCGAAAGGCAACGATTTCTCCTGGATTCGGGCAACTGAGCTCCTCCCAACCTGTCTGCTTCGGCCACACCAAGGCGAAAAGCCCCCTCTTCTGAATTCGATATGAATGTCGGACGGTTGCCTATAATGGCTATGCTAGACAGCAAAACAGCCACACACACTCAATTCTTGGGTGGGTGCAAGCGTAACTAGGTGAACTTTGAGAACTCAAAATATGTTGTCATTTCAACTTCGCTGACTAAGTCACAACTGGGAAGTATGCAAGGTTAACACCTGCACACTAGGATATCATGTGCTCGTGTCCGGGCTTGGCTCCGACGAGATGTCAGATAGTGCATGGGTTTGGAGGACAGATGAAGGGCTTTGAGCCCTTGATGATCCAACACCCTTCGTGGCTAGTGCGGCAACGCTAGTGCCAGTGGGTTTTTTAGCAGCTGCTGAAAGAGGGATTCTGGCACTGCTTGTTAGAGAGGAGGATGTGGGTGATAGTGGTGCGATGAGCGAAGCAACCTCGCCAACCACCGAAGCAACGTCCGCAGCAGCTGAGATTAATGACCCCCATAGCGAGGAATAGTCCACAGAGCATGTGCAGGAGTCTCGGTGCTGCCTGGTCACTGAGAGGTCCCTTGAGGAAGGTGCAGCAGTGGAGAGTGTGGGATCCTGCAGAGGGTAAGGGGCCACACGAAGGTAGGAGGTCAGTGAGCTTTAGGGTTGGGGATTCACATGGCACAGCTCTAGATGCAAACCTCTCATTCCCTCCCTCCCTCCTCCTCTTGCCTCCCTTTCTCCCCAGCTCACCTCTCCCTCCTAATTTCCCACCCACACCCCTTTACCCTCCTTCCAGTCCCTCCCCCTCTCCCATACCCCACCCCCCCACCCTCCGCTCGCTTCCCCACACTGCCACCCCCTCTCTCGTCACTTCATGCGGTCCGACTGATGCGCAAGGTCGAGGTGAAACGGCGGGAAATGGGGAAACGGAAGCGGCGATGGACCAGGCCAGAACGCACCTCAACGCGCGCTGAGGAAGCAGCAGCAGCCCCGCAGATCACAGGTTGGCTGGAAGGCGCGCGCGCCACGATCAGCGGCGCTGCCAGCCCCTCGCGGGGCCGCGCAACGGGCGGCGCTTGGATTTGGCTATTGCTGGCGGACGCAGCGTCGGATCCCCGGGCCTGTCCCCTCTCCTGGCTTTTCCGACTATTAGTGGCGGAATTCGATGGAATCTGGGGGATATCCCGCTGCCATTCCCGCTGATTTATCCGCCCGCGCCCTGCGTCTCCCCCGCGCACAGCGCCGCCCGTGGCGGAGCCCCACGTTGAGAGATCTATCACGCCGCCAGAACCTGCTGTCGGGAAGCCGATAGACACTTGTCGGTTAGGGTTTCGCGGGGCCGGCTGCCAGAACGGCGTCGCAGACGGCTGACCGGAAGGGCGCGAGACCAAGGCGGACTCTATTTCCCCCTTGGAGGGGAGCGGGGGTGCGGGGGGGCGTGACGGGGCGTAGGGGCGGGGCGCAGGGGGGAGCTCGGGGAGCAGGTCCCAGAGCTTCGGCTGCCGCGGCGGACGCTGGCGCGGCTTCCGCCCTTGCGCAGTGCGCGGAGCGGGCGGCGGCGCAAGAGACGGGGCGGAGGGCTCAGGGATGGACGCGGCTGGATGGGCGGAGAGGAAAAGCGGCGGTTGGTTGGGCCAAAGCGATTGGTTCAGGATTTTCGGGAGATGCGCGGAGGGACGCGGGGGTTGTGTGGCGCAGGGGCGGGGGGTGGGCGGAGGGTCGACGGGCTCGGGGATGAGAAGCGCGCTGGGGCGCGGCTTTTGGCCGAGCTGCGGGTGCGGGTTGGGCACGGAATGCACGCGGAACTCCCAAAACGGAGCCATGGCGGCTAGGAATTAGGCTTCGAGACACCCTTGTTCCCCAAAATGGCGAAACGCAAGGGAGATGAGGTTCCGCCTGGAGGTGAGTTGCTTCGAGCTTCGCTGGGCTGACACTGCCCAGGCTATGCGAGACAAATATTCTCGGCACGGAACATACGGCAGCGACAACGGGTTATGAGGTTTGGTTCGCGTTGCTATCTTGTAGCACTTGTGAGGGTGGAGAAACGCGTAAGGCGGATTAGTCTGGTCGTGGGAAGCGCTGCTGCTGCTGAGGTGAAGTTATGCGGGGCTGTCTTGCTTGACCCTCCTCTCTCATGTCGACTTCTGACTTTCTCATGCTGACTGGGGGGCTTGGCCTTTCTCGCGGGCGGAAATGCAGATCTGCTGGACGGTGCAGAAAGTCGACCATGGCGCGGTGGGGTTGGTTGGGAGAGGAGGGGGGGGAGGTAAGGGCATCTTCATGAACAATCCACCTTGCCTCCCAACGTGGGGACGTTCTCGAGGGAGAATGCGAGTCGTCGACGAGTCGCGAAATTACTGTGCAGGGCGGTGCGGGGATGAAACCCACGCTGCCGAACAACCTCCCTTTGGCTCCGGTTCGCAAGGGTAGTAACCAGGCATGGCGAAAGAGCTAGCGCATCATAAACGACAGAAACTGCACGTTACAGCGTGTACAGTTTTCGATAGGTTGCGGCGGCCGAGCTGAGCCATTTCTGATGAGCGGTGTATATCTGGCTGGACATCTGGCCTGGTGAAGCAGCAGGTCATTTCCCTGGTTGGTCTGATCTGATTGCGGGAACGATCGTGCACGGCTCAGGGGGCTTCGCACAAAGCCTTGGAATGGTCAAGCAGCCAAATCACAGGTGAATTCGATATTCGATAATCCAGGATTCTCATGGAGCAAGAATAGCTACACTGACAACAAGAGTACGATAAGATGGTAATATACACGGAGGAATTTCGGTCGACAGCAGCGAAAACCAAATTCGTGGTAACCGGTCCCAGTGAGGGTCGTTCTCGCAAAGGAGATGCAAAATGACAGACCACCTCCCATACAAAAATGACAGACCACCTCCCATCCCTAACAGTTTTCGAAACCCTAATTTTGCCTGTCGTCCTTGAGTTCGTGGCCTCTTCTCTTGAATCTTGCTGCCTGTCCCTAGCCTCGGTCGGTTGCGGATCAACCTTCTCGTAGCTTAATCTTGTGGTCGTGTCTCGTCCGTTCACTTTCTTTGTTTCGTGTTAGGGGTTTCATTGATCACTTCTGTTTATAGTAAAAAGAGTAACCGTAGGCATGGCTCATCGGTTGTTGAGAGACGAGGACGCGGACGGCTGGGAGCGCAGCGACTTCCCGATTATCTGCGAGACTTGCCTCGGAGCGAATCCTTACGTTCGCATGGTGAGACTTCAAGAAGATTCTTACGCTACGATATAGGTCTGTCCGTTAAAAGTCTTTGTTATTAAGGTAGCAGGGTACACACCAACAGGCGCCGTCGCGAGGAGATGGCGTGGTGCGGACATCGTCAGGAGCTGCAGTCCATCTTAATTCTGCAAACTCGTTTGGAATTCAGGGTCTTTAAAATAAGTTCCGGGTTGATCCTCAATTCTTCCCCGCCACGCCAAGGCGAGTTTCGACAGGGAGTGCAAGATCTGCACGCGGCCGCGACGCTCGCTGTGCCTAAGAGTCGACTCAAGTGCCGATTCTTTCCCCCGTCCCTCGCGCTTTCCCCTTATCGTCTCCCGCCAGACCAAGGCGAGTTTCGACAAGGAGTGCAAGATCTGCACGCGGCCCTTCACCGTCTTCCGATGGCGGCCCGGCCGCGACGCGCGCTACAAGAAAACCGAGATCTGCCAGACGTGCTGCAAGCTCAAGAACGTGTGCCAGGTCAGTTCCTTGCTTTAGCCAATTCCCGATCTCGTTAATTCTTATACTGTCTCGTCCGGTTTAGGTTAGGTTAGGATAGGTTTCGGCTCCGTGCGCATCGTACAGGTTCGGTTAGCAGGGATACGAGATCAGCCATAGGTGAATCCGACTTTGCCTAGGTTAGGTTCGGTGTCGCTCCCGCGCGCAGCCTCGCGCAAATTCGCCTGCGCCTACTGTTAAGCCCGTATCGGTTCTCCTATTCTTTTCCTAGCGTAGATTCTATTTTTGAGGCGCCTCAAAAATAGACTCCTCCCGTATCGGTACCCCTATTCATTTCCTAGCGTAGATTCTCCAGCGATTAGCCCCGGGTGACCCTTCCGTTCTCCATTCCCACACGGTCACACCTCCTCTTGCCCCTCGTTTTGAGGCGCCTCAAAACCATTCCCACACGGTCACACCTCCTCTTGCCCCTCAGGTGTGCGTGTGGGATCTCGAGTACGGGCTGCCTGTGCAGTGTGAGACAACCCCCCGCCCTACCCCCTTCCCCCCTCCCCCCCTCTCCCCCCGCTCTTCCCCCATTTCCGAACCCTCTCCCCCCCACACCCTCCCCCACACCCATCTCCCCCCCCCTCCCCCCGCCCCAGGTGTACATGTTGGATCTGGAGTACGGGCTGCCGGTGCAGGTGCTACAAGTACTTGCATTGCGCTTAATAAATCTACCTCCCCCCCCCCCCCCCCACCCCCCACCCCCCTCCACCCCCCACCTCCCCAGGTGTGCATGTTGGATCTGGAGTACGGGCTGCCGGTGCAGGTGCGGGACTCGGCGCTCAACATCAGCACCACGGACGCCATCCCTCAGAGCGACGTCAACCGCGAGTACTTCGCGGAGGAGCACGACCGCAAGGTACTCCGCTGCTCGTTGTGGTTGTTTGTCGTTTGTGGTCGCACAGCGCCTCCCGTGGAAGCTGCAGCGCACGTAGCACAGAGCCGAAGTACTCGCTGGGAAAGCTATGAATCGTCGTTTGGCCAGGCGCAGGCCAGGAATCGAACGACCTGCTGCTGAAGCTGCGGCCCATGACGCTCTACTGCAAGCGCAACCGCTGAGGCGCCTCAGGAAGTTGCCTTTTCCGCTGAGGCGCCTCAGGAAGTTGCCTTTTCCGCTGAGGCGCCTCAGGAAGTTGCCTTTTCCGCTGAGGCGCCTCAGGAAGTTGCCTTTTCCGCTGAGGCGCCTCAGGAAGTTGCTTTTTCCGCTGAGGCGCCTCAGGAAGTTGCCTTTTCCGCTGAGGCGCCTCAGGAAGTTGCTTTTTCCGTTGCTCTGTATTCCCGTGCCTCCTTCCCCAGCCGCCCCGCCTCATCCTTCCCCTTCCTTTCGAACCGGGGACGAGCAGGGTTGGACTATGAGTCGTCGTTCGGCAAGGCGCAGCCCAACGACCTGCTGTTGGAGCTGCAGCCTGCGACGCCTTACTACAAGCGAAACTGCTGACGCATCCAACCCTCCCACTCCCTCCCCTTCCTTCTTCTCCCCTTCCGTCCCAACCAGGGTCGAGCGGGGCTGGACTACGAGTCGTCGTTCGGCAAGGCGCAGCCGAACGACCTCCTACTGAAGCTGCAGCGCACGACGCCGTACTACAAGCGCAACCGCGCGCACATCTGCTCCTTCTTCGTCCGCGGGGAGTGCACGCGCGGGGCGGAGTGCCCCTACCGCCACGAGATGCCCATTACTGGGGAGCTGGCGCACCAGAACTTCAAGGACCGCTACTACGGGTGCGTGACGAAATTGGCCTCCTCCCTGTAGTGTAGTGTAGCTCGGCCGTGGGGGTTGTAGCTCGGTCTTGGGGGTGGTAGCTCGGTCTGGGAGATGATGCGTGGCCAGGAAGATGATGCCCCTGGCGGCAGAGATGCTCGCGTTCTTAAGCTGTCCCTTTCTTGCCCTCGTGGCGTCTCCCCCCCGGCCTGTCCGTCATGCCACCTGCAGTGTTGTCAGCCATGATAGGAGTCTAGTTTTGAGGCGCCTCAAAACTAGCCCCCCCGGCCTTTCCTCATGCCACCTGCAGTGTGAACGACCCCGTGGCGAAGAAGATGATGCGGCTGGCGGCGGAGATGCCGTCGCTGGAAGCACCCGAGGACACGAGCATCAAGACGCTGTGGGTGGGGGGTGTGGACTCGCGGATTACCGAGGAAGACCTCAAGTGAGTGTGCTTGTTAAAGCTTCTCTGGCGCGTGCCTGTTGTATCATGCTCACTCCATCACCACGGGAGAGCCCGAGAAGCAAGACACTGTGGGTGGGCGGAGTGGACTCACGGATCAGAGCGAAAGACCTCAAGTGAGCTCCTTACCGTCCTGTGCTCTCTGATGTATCATGTTCACCCATTACACCATGCTCTCTCTGCTGTATCATGTTCACCCATTACACCATGCTCTCTCTGTAACCTCCCACGAACACGAGCACCAAGGCATTCGTTATGGGTGAGGTGGGGGGGGGGGGGGAGACTTAAGGATCACAGAGAACTGCTGAGAAGGGCTTCAAGTGGGCGTGCTGAGTCCGATGCTGGTTGCCCTCTCGTTGGGTGCCAGCCAAATGCCTGGTAGGTTTTGAGACGTCTCAAAACCAACCTTATATCACGATGCTGGTTGCCCTCTCGTTGGGTGCCAGCCAAATGCCTGGTAGCCCCGAACTGCCCCCGTCTTACCTCAACCCCCCCTTTTGAATTGTCTGAATGAATACTGGGAGATTGAGTCAATCCGCCCTTTTCCTAACCCCTTCGACTTTCACTCCCTCTTTTACCCCCTGCATTCCCTCTGAACTTCATCAAACTCATCTCCCCTATACCACTCACTCCTCCCCCTCCTCCCCCCCCCCCCCCCCCCCCCCCACCCTCCTGCCTTCTCCTTCTGTTTCAGGGACAAGTTTTACGCCTATGGCGAGATCGAGTCGATTCGTCTCATCACCCCCCGCAGCTGCGCTTTTATCACATACACAACGAGGGAGGATGCAGAGAAGGCGACGGAGGGCCTAGCTAACAAGCTCATCGTGAAGGGGATCCGGCTGAGGCTCGACTGGGGCCGGCCGAAGCAAGAGGGAATAGAAGGGGGAGAAGAGGCGGGAGGAAGGAAGCTGCTAGAAGGGGGAGAGGGGGAGCGGGTGGCGGGGAAGGGGGAGGAGGAGGCGGAGGAGGAGGAGGAGGAGAGGGGGAAGGTGGTGTGGAGGGTGGTGCAGGGGGCGCTGATGGTGCTGGGGGAAGTGGTACAGGAGAGGGCGTGGCTGGGGCTGGCTTCGGGATCTTGCCTCGGAGTGGGGTAGGTTTGACGGTAGGTCCGGCGACGTCTGCATCGATGTACCCATCTATGAATCCTGAGAGGATGGGGGCGCGCACACGGAACAGGGAAGGGGGGGAGGGAGGAGGTGGGGGAGGAGGAGGAGGGGGAGGGGGGGGCGGTGGTGGTGGTAGCAGTGGTGCTGGCAGCGGCGATGCTGCTGCTGCTGCTGCTGCTGCTGCATCTGTTGCTCCCGCATACCAATACCCACCGCATGCTTACCCCCCTCCTGGCCATGCCGCCTATCCCGCCACCTCCCCTCCCCAGCCTTACCAACCTCCCCCAGGCATGCCGGCTCCAGGCGCCCCTCCCCTTCATCCAGGGGCCTACCAGCACCAGCAGGGGCCATACCCCGATTCCTACCCCCCTCCCATGGGTTACCCCCAGCAGCAGCAGCAGCAGCAGCAACAGCACTATCAGCAGCAGCAACACTATCAGCAGCAGCCGCAGCAGTATCAACAGCCCCCATACATGCCGCCCCCCTCCCAGTATGCTCCACAGCAAGGCCCTCCACCCCCATACCCAGGTGGTCCGTCAGGTGCTCCGCAACAATACCCAGGTGGTCCTCAGCTGTTCCCAGGTGCTCAACAACAGTACCCAGGTGGTCCTTCAGGTGGTTCGCAACAGTACCCAGGTGTCCCGCCAGGTGCACAGCAGCAATACCCCGGACCTCCTCCGCAGCAGCCCTACCCTCCCCAACAGTACCCTGGGCCCGGGCCAGCAGGTCCGGGGCAATACGGTCCTCCCAGGCCTGGTGCCGGGCCTCAGGGTTAGGCTTGCAGAAGGGTGCAGAGCAGTCGGCTGTGGCGGACAAGGGTTGTGCGAGCAATTCACGTTTTTCTCAGCTCCCCCTGAGCCGTGCCTGCAGCTGAGAAGGGTTGTACTCTGCTTCACTACCCTTTTTGGCCGCTGATATGGTCTGATCCGGTGGTGGGGCACACTGCATGTGCTTGTAGCGAGGCAGCATGTCGATTGAGAGGTGTGTGTGCATTCCGTGTGACTCCTCAGCTGGGTTCCGTGCTGTGCAAGGGACCAGCTTCGGATTTGAGGCGTCAGCGTGGGACACCATGTATACTGTTGTTAACGCAGAGTTGGTTTGAGGAAGGTCCTGCAGTGCAGCAGGCATGGTGCCTGCCTGCCTGTTACAGGTGCAGCAGTCGGGATGGCTCTTTGTATCATCGGACGGTTTTACTTTCATCTGAGATCATGTCTCATCTAGAAGGATTCAGAGCAGTGTCTCTGTTTTGGATACCGACTTCAACAGGGAGGAACAGAGTGGCACATGGCCTTATTAGGAGTCTGTCTGTACCACAACACACCCCTGTTGCCCCCTCAGTCGGTCGCACACTTGGAGGCCCAGTGCCACAAAACAGCAACAACAACACACCCCTGTACGCTTGTTCAGATCTACTCCCCCCACAACAACACACCCCCGTTCCACCTACCACAGCCTCACATCATCCTATCATCCTATCATCCTATCATCACAGCATTCACGCACCACAGCAAAGCTTGTACAAAACAGCAGTACCCTCCCTCAGCGTGCCATGGCAACAAGGCACTGTCTCGTACTCGTGCTAGCATGACTGTACACCAGAACATGTTACGGTTACACCAGCAGGAGTGTAACGAGCGCCAGGCCAAGCAAGGCCAGTAGGTGGTGTGTGTGTGTCTCTACTGGTGTCTCTGCATGCTTACCCGCATACGCGCTAAGAGCATCCATGTTGTACGGCAAGAGCACCGCATAGCTCTTATAAACAGCGACCTCATTCGGAATATCCAGCACGCTGTCTGCAGCGGTCAGCGTGCTAAACGCGAAGGGGCTGCCGTCAAGCATGGGAAGGCCGGAGCGACCTTTCGGGACCGGCGTGTTGGCCAGCTGCTGAGGCGACATGCCCGACACGCTCCAAATCCCGCCAGTGGACGACAGCCACAGCGGCTGCCCCTCGAGTGAGGGGAGCTCCCAGGGGCCTCCGTTAGAGTACTGTCATGTGGGAGAGGGGGAGAGATATATTGAAGAGGGTGGCGTGCCTTTTTGAGTCGACTCAGAAATATATTGAAGAGGGCGACGTGAAGTGCCGGACACGTTTCGTGCTGCTGAACGGGAAAGAACTTCGCTTTCAAAGCAGGAGCTCCAAAATATACAAGCACACGCGGAGCTCGAGCTCTTCACCTTACTAGTTCGAATGTATTAGCATCTGAGTTCGAATTTCAGAAGAACTCGGTAACACACTACCTTTTGCGTGGCGCGGGTGGGCGGGATGTATTTCCTCACGAGCAGGAACTTCCAAATACCACTCATCGGCGGGCGAACGCAACAGGAACTATTGATTCGGGAAAGAAAAATAAAAAGAAAACCCGAGGCTCACCTTTTGGGTGGCGACGGCGGGCGGGATATACTCCTTGATGATCTGAAACTTCCAAATGTCCGTCAGCGTGCCGGCGACGTTAGGAGGGATGCCCTGGAGGGCCGTTGACCACCCGCTGTCGCTTGCCCTTGACGCCTCGTTCATGGCTTTGAGCGCGTCGTACACCGCCTGGTTGTATTTGCGCGTCGAATTGTCCTGCGCAGCGTAGCTAGGGGCCGCCGAACTGATGACGTCTGACCGCGCGATGAGAATGGTCACGCCGGAGATGTCCTTGGTGCCGTCCAGCGCGAAGAGACGCGCCACGAGGCTTTCTTGGACGTCCACGTCCTTAAGCTGAGCCACCAATTGGGCCACCGGGACTGCGCGGGTTGAGGTGGGCAGCTGGGAGATCAGCGCGACAGCGAGCAGAAGCGCCGCGCTGGTGCGGGAAAGAAAGCTGGCCATGGTAGTACTCGTAGAGCCTGATCGTAGACACCTGGATATTCACGTTACGTGGCGGTGGGGAAATTGGTAGAGAATTGGAGGTGGTTTGACGAGGAAGGGCAAGAAAGGGGACATTTTATGCATCGCCGAAGGTCTGTGGACGAGGGTTCTGGATGCGCGCCCAAGATCAGGATGCGGGAACATCGGGAGACATTTGCGATTTGCGAAAAGCAAAAGACTTTTCGCCGTTGCAAGCTTTTGCAAACCTCGTTGACTTCTTGCCAGATGCACGTTCGTCGCATGGCGAGATATCCCCGTCGACCCCGAGAGATCGTTGACACGGGGCCGAAGCGAGCAAACACACCGATTTTGTCGAACTGGACATCCACATCAGCGTACTTACGGTGTCACATCGGCTGTGCCCCCCCCGCTGGCAGCCCTACTTTGAAAGCTTGGACCAAAGTTGATTGCTAATCTCATGCCCTGTTGTTGGAAAAACAGTCTGAAAAAAACTAATCACTATGGGAAAAAACTAACATCAGCTATAACCTACATTACCTGACTGGTACATTCTACGAAAGCCTAGATGCATCACGGGGGAATGAAGTTGCTCTACAGATCTCCCAAAACATGAAATCCACGCAGAAAGAATGATAGCTTGGAGGAGAGGAGGAGACGTCCGAAGACACATTAGCGACATGGAGGTCGAATCTGCAGTAGAAACATATCGTAGTAACCATCATCTAGGTAACAAAATTGCGGGAGGTGGTGGAGATATGCGAAGTGGAGCAAGCGGTAGATGAGGATAGCGAGACGATGCGCAGATAGGCAACAACTCAACGGGGGAGGGAAGTGGAGAATGAGAGCAGGAGATGCACCAAGTGGGATGCGGTGGGTGTTGAAGTAGCTAACAAAGGGTTTTGGCTAGGTAGGAGAGAAATAGCGAGAGAAAAGGGGTTTGATTAGGAGAGAGAGAGAGAGAGAGAGAGAGAGAGAGAGAGAGAGAGAGAGAGAGAGAGAGAGAGAGAGAGAGAGAGAGAGAGAGAGAGAGAGAGAGAGAGAAAGAGAGAGAGAGAGAGAGAGAGAGAGAGAGAGAGAGAGAGAGAGAGAGAGAGAGAGAGAGAGGTATAAGAAGTGGGTTGTACCTTTTACAGTAGGATCCAGTCATTTGCATAACACCCAACTGTTAAAGATAGCTAGCTAGAAGAGTAGCCATGGAATGGCGAGAGGTTTAGGAAGGAAAGAAAATGTCGAGAGAAGAGAGATTGGGCTAGAAGAGAAGGCGATACAAGAAGGGGGGTATGCCCCTTTACAGTAGGATTCAGTAAGTAGCACAACTACTAAGCCTACAAATATATATATGATATATAATTTAACACACCCCCTAGGCTTGGTAGTGGAAAGCCCATCCCACCCCCAGCACCCCCACATCCTTGCACCCCCATTCCCTGCAACAACAGTGGTGTTGACCAGCTGGTCGACCCCTCAGCAATCGAGGTGGCGACGTCGACGGCAGATCGCAGCGGTGGCGGCGTCGTCGTCGAGGCACCTGGCGTCGACGGTTGCGACATCCGAGGCAACGGTGGCGTGGCTCAACCTGCGACGACGAGGGGGGGGACTTTATAGTTGGCCCGGCGCTGCCGCTGCCGATCGTGCGCTGGTGCGTCGACGCCGCCGCGACAACACGACGACGCCGCCATGACTGGACGTCGACACCACGACAACGCAACGAGGGTGCCACGGCAGCAGCGTCGAGACTGCCGCGGCAGCAGGACGCGGCCGGCGGCACGACGACGCCGCCACAGCAGCACGACGCGGCCGCCATGGCAGCGAGAGAGAGAGAGAGAGAGAGAGAGAGAGAGAGAGAGAGAGAGAGAGAGAGAGAGAGAGAGAGAGAGAGAGAGAGAGAGAGAAAGAGTGCGCGGCGGAAGAGTGGGAAGAAGGTCCAGCAGATTGAACTTGCTCTGATACCATATTAAATATAGCTAGCTATAAGAGTAGCCATGGAATGGCGAGAGGTTTAGGAACGAGAGAAAATTTCAAGAGAAGAGAGACTGGACTAGAAGAGAAGGAGATACAAGAAGAGGGATAGTTCCCTCTACAATAGGATTCAGTAAGTAGCACAACTACCAAGCCTATAATTATATACATATAATATATAATTTAACACCAACACCTACCAAGCCTACACAACTATATATATAGAATATAAATGTTGACACGCCCCCTAGGCTTGGTAGGCACTAGCACACCACACACGCAACACCCCCAAGCCCTTGCACCCCCATGTCCTGTAGTAGCTATGGCTTCTACCCGTTGGCATGCGAAACGACGACGTCGGCGGCGGGTATCTCAGAGTAGAAAGATTTCGCTAGAATGAGAGATACAAGGTAGTTTTGTCTAAGGGATTGTACTCTCTATAGGACTGCACCTATCTAGCATATAATATATACAAAATATACATTGACACACCCCCTAGGCCAGACAAAGGGCAACGACTAGCAAGAAACATGCAGCTCAAGGTGGTACTACTAGTCCAACCTCTGAGGCAAGGGCCCGAAGACCAGTCAGCAAGAGTACAAACTACTGTAAACAAGAGAAACCCAAGGCGGCACTACAAGTCCAGCCACTAGAACAGGAGTGACAAGGCGAGTCAAGGTATAATAAGATAAAGTACACACTCAAAGTCCTAGCAAGTGAGAAGCAACAAGAACTAGACCAAGCAGTACACAGAGTCGCTGATGATCTTTAGGCGCAAGCGCGTCGGTAAAGATATTAGCTCTATTGGCACCGGAGGCCAAGTGTACTACGCGGGCCTGGCGGCGCTGCTGTAGCTCGTGCAGGAGGAAGAACTGCAGCTGGATGTGCTTTGCTCTGCCCTCCAAACAAGGCTCCTGATACAGGAGAATTATGGCCCTGTTGTCAGCGTACAAGACCGGGGCAAAGCTAGGCCGCTCACCTAAGTCTGTGAGCTAGAAAGTCAGCCAGCGGAGCTCCTGTGCCACCATGGCACCGGCAGAGATCTCAGCCTCACACCTAGACTGTGCAACATACGACGAAGATGGCACCTGCACCAAGGCTAAAGCAGTAGCCCTGGGAGGACCTGAGCGTCTCAGCGTCGTCCGCCCACAAGGGGACCAAAGTCCGCGTCAAAGCGTCTGTGTGCCCTGTAAGGACCACTGGCCTGTGTCCTTCTAGTACTAACCCCATGCCCGATGTACTTGCTAGATAATGCAAAACCCTCTTAGCGGCCGACCAGTGATGTGGTCGGTGTCTGCCTGTGGCCATAAAGCGAGCCAGGATGCTGAGAGGGTACGCGAGATCTGGATGAGTGCAAGCCATTGGGTACGTGAGTAAACCCACCAGCTCTGCGTATGGACGACTGGGCTCTACAGACTCCTCAGGAACTGGAGCTGAGAGCTTGTGATCTACAGGCAGAGGTGTGGGCTATGCGGAGGAGAATTGAAGACCGAACCTCTGAAGGACCTAGCGCACCAAGTAAAACTGTGTGAGAGTGATGGTGTGCGCTGCTCTGTCCCTGGAGATCTGCAAGACAAGGTAGTGGCGCAGCTCTCCTAGGTCAGTGCAAGTGTGTTTCCTCAGCAGCTCGGCCTTTACGGAGGCCACTGCGTCTCTTTTTGCAATGGCAAAGACCAGGTCGTCTACGTAGACAAGGATGTAGAACGGGGTCTGGCTTAAATGAACGAAGAGTAAAGGGTCTGCAGTCGATGGGAAGAACTGCAGGTCAGCTAACTTAACGCACAACGTGTCATGCCACTCACGCGGCGCCTGCCGCAGTCCGTAAAACCATGCGCCGGAGGAGCCACTGGGTCCCCGGGGCGAAGGTGCCAGTAAATCCAAGCGGGTGGCGTAGGTAGACCTGCTCATGCAGAGTGCTTTGAGGAAGCTCGATGGAGAAGTCGAGAGAGTGTAGCTCGTAGTCACGATGTGCTGCTACGTATAGCATCGTCCGAAGAGTAGCCATCTTCGGGGTCGGGGCGAAGGTCTGAAAGAAGTCAACAACCTGACGCTGACTGAAGCCTCTAGCAACGTAGCGCGCCTTGAACAAAGGCGTCTCTCCAGAAGGGCGCTTTACCTTGAAGAGCCACCGGCCATCGACTACGTTCACCCCAGGCGGGGGAACTGCGTCGACGTAGGTGCCGGTGGATCTCCAAGATGCCATATCTGCGTCCATGGCAGCTATCCACTGGGAGGCTCAGAGTCCTGAGGACACCTTAGCGTAGGTGTGAGGGGTCAGGTGTGAGAGTACGACCCCGTTACACCACTTGTCCCCTTTCTTATTTCCTTCCTCTTTCATTTCTCTTTTTATTCCATCTCATTTGGTTTCCTATTCACCATTTTCCATTAACCTTTGGTTTATCCTGCTATTATAATTATATCACCGACCAGGCTTGGGATGTACTGGTGCGCTATATCTAGCGTAATCCTGCCGTAATCCCTTAAAGCCAATAGCCTCGCGTGGCTATACGCAGGGTGATTCTATCTTCTAGAAGGGTCTATTCCCTTAGGATAAGATCAACCTGGTTACCTGATGTACTCTGGAAGTATAAAAGCGCCTTGTACTGATCGATAGGGCAATCTTTCCTCGAGTCATTTGATCCTGTGACACTTGGTAATCAGAGCTTTTCTCACTCGGTCGCGCTCAACAAAGCAGCAGCAGCGGGAAAACCTGCCTCGAAAAACCGCGGGGGGCGACCAATTCAACGCCGATTCTGGAAAGCACCAGCTCCGCATTTTTTCGAATCACCCCCCCCGCGCGTGTTTTGAACACGATGGCAACCTTCGACAACGCTGAGGTTACCCAACAGCTCTTTGCGCGCATCGCAGCCCTTCAGGAGGAGATGCGAGCGGATCGCGAAGCGTGGCGAAATGAGTTCGAGCGAGTAACCCGACTCGCCGGAGCGCAGCACGACTCGACAACGGCGACGATGCAACCGTTTCTCGAGGCTCCGAAGCCGCGCCCACCTGAGCCGTTCGATCCGAGCGATCGAAACTCCGACGCCCGCAGATGGATCGCCCAGATGGAGATCTACTTCGCAGCCGTCGGATGGAGCTCGCCAGTCTGGGACGGTCAACGCGTACGA